AGAGAGAGAGAGAGAGAGAGAGAGAGTGTGTGTGTGTGTGTGTGTGACCAAGAACTTTACAAAAGTTCTCAAAAACCACAGTAGCCTCTCGTGGCATAACCCAGTGCATCTGTACTCGCCAGCCCTCATGCTTCCCCGCCAACCCCCGTTATGCACCTCTCTGGGAGCTCTTGACAACACAGCACCAGAGATGCCCACTTCCTACAGCGACAGGCAGACGCCATTATGAGTCTACACAGCCTTGAAGCCACCTGGCTCTATGGCTCCCGCAGCTCTTCCTCCTACAGAAAGAGGAATATCCCTAAGGTCTCCCCTCAATCCCAGCCATCCTCTCTGTCCTGGGACCAGAGAGGAAGGCGACCGAGGGCCCACACTTCCCAGTCACTGTTCACTGCAGCCCCCGAGTAAGTCAGCAAAGCTAAGAGGAGGAGGCTGGCAGAGGGAGCGTCCAGTAGACACCAGCAGTGCCCTCCAGCCCGTTTTCTCCTCTATGGATCAGCCTTGGATGCCAAGAAAGAACCTCAGACCCTACGCGTCCAACATGAACCCCCTGGAAAGTATAAGGTTGGAATTGTTAACGGCCACCCTCTTCTGTCTTTTAACAGTACCTTTAAAATCAAAATCTCAAACAGAGGAAGACTCAACAACGATGCTAACCCCCTTAAAGTCTGATTCACAAGGTATCGTTTTAATTTTATAGTTCTACGATGATTTTAAATGACTCCCGGAGGGTACGAATCCATCTATGAGACGGGAAGAAGCAGAGAATTAGCACACCCTGAGCCAAAGAGAGTCCTCTTCTGACCATTTTAGATTACGGTAGCCTTCATTAAGGCCAGTGGCCAAGGCATTATTTCTAGAACGTGGTGTCAGGGGTCAAGGCTCAGGGAAGAAACTTGGCCAAAGGGTAAAATGCTTTTAATTTTGAATTAAAATTGAGTTTTGAAAGGGGAGGAAATAATATCTACCACTGGAGTTAGGAGGGGAGATAATGGATTATCCATACTCAGTTCATTCCGTGACATTTACTGTGCATCTACTGATATTTATTGTATACCTACTGTGTACCGGGCAGTAGTTTGTCCATCTTTATATGGACAAAGCCATCCTACCCTCTCAGAACTTAAACTCTAGTGGGAAAGATGAACTATGAACAAACGGAGGGCAATCAATGTGTGCTGAGCATAAGCTACAGGCCTCCAACTGCTGACCATCATGGGAGCCTCTTACCCTACAATACGCAGTCTCCACCCTGGTCTCCCAGACATTTAGGGGTTAACAGTTCACCGTACCACATCCTATTCATCATTTTTCCTATTTGTTTTCAGCCTTTGTTCCCACTGAAGAACCACAAAAGGCAGGAAATGGTGAGAGTCCCACGTAACCTATCCAAAGATCCCTGCTCCCCGCAGAGCAGCCGGGGCCGGGGATAGTGCCCCGGGCGGGTGGGTGCCTTGCTGGTCCAGCCGGTGCCGAGTCCTAGAGAGGACCGAGGGGCATACTGGGCACACAGTCCCTGAAACTGGATATGTTTCTCTGTCCTTAACTGAAGAAGGGAGCTAGAACAAGAAACAGAGAGAGGGTCTCGGGAGCGAGACAGAATGACTTGGGAATGGCCCGGAAGTCCATCTCTCTACTCAAGCTCTGTATAGGGACGCCCACATTTAAAGAGGGTCCAGTCGGTCAGTTGCTAGGTTCCCTGAAGTCTGGTCAGCAGGGCTTGACTGGGATGCATGGGCCCCTCCAGACAGACTCATTCGATGGTAACTTGATAGGGAATGAATTAGAGCCCCTCAGATGGTACCCTTAAAGCCTGATTAAATTTTTATTAAGGAGGGGATAGTTGAATTCTGTGAGGGGGAAGGACAGGGGAGAAGCCTTTTGGCGGCAGAATCCCAACCTGCACACATCACTCCACAAAAGCCCTGCGATTAACCAGACCCATCCTATTAGAAACAACGTAGGGATGATGACGTGCTTGCTGTCTGTCAGCATGGGGGTGGGGGAAGAGGGGAGAATCAGGGTTACCTACACAGGTGGCTTATCAAACTCCTCCCAACTCTAGACTATAAAATTTTCTTCATCTTATTTCATTTCCGGGGTGGGGGGCGGTCGGGGCAGAGCACTGCTGCTGGGACTTTAATGTGCAGAGCGATCACCCGAGCATCTTGTTAAAATGCAGATTCTGATTCCGTGGATCTAAGACTCTGCATTTCTCACAAGCTCCTGGCAGCAGCTCGGGCCGCTGATCCATGAAGCACACTGAGTGGCTTCAGAACAGATTACAGATTTGTGCCCATAGCAGCTGCCAGACCAGCCCATCGTTTGTCCTTGATTTAAGGACAAGGAATTCACTACGCGCAGGGTGGAGGAGGTGAAAACAGGACCAAGTTTCACCTGCGTGCTCTTTTCTCAGAGCCCAGGGCTAGTCGCCTACTGCTTGTCCCCTCCCTTTCCTCGTTGATAACGTGGGGATCTGCCCTGCAGGGCAGATACACCGGACTCAAACATCTACCCCAATTCAGGAAGTATGCTTCTGGCAAGAAAACAACGGTACAGGAGAGCCACTGACTGGATGGGGGAGAATTTAGATTTGTTCTTCATCAGTCCGGGACAGGCACACTCCACTTCAGGGAATGCTGTGTGGCCGGCGTTCACTGCATTAGCGCCGGTCCCCTGAGCCACCCTGAAGATAAGCCTTATGGTCCCCATTACACAGGTGAGGGGGCCAGGGTGCGAGGGGGCTGAGTGACAAGCTGGGAGGGGCCCAGGTCCTGGGTAACAGGGCCGCCACTTAGGAACCTGGCCTGACACCTGCCCCCTCCCCCAGTCCCCCCATAAAGCAACTTCGGGGGAAGATAATGATCTCACTAGAACAAAGGTAGAGGTTGACAGAAATCCCCAAAGGGAAAGTTAATTAGGAATAAAGCTCCCCCTTCTCATTCTGCCCCAGTTGTGGCTGTGTTCCTGCGGATTTACTGGGTACCTCCTGACACGCAGACAGTGCCTGTTGATGTTAAGGTTAATGATTATGTGGGACCGAATGCCTCTGAACACTGCAGCTCTGTATTCATTCACTCCTGCCAACTCCCCTTCTTGCTTTGACAAACATCTACTTTTTTTTTCCCCTCGAATTAACTATCTATTATTCAATAAAGCTTACTAAAATACAGCACTCACAAATCATGGGGATTTGCTAAGCTATCAGGACCAGAGCCGGACTCCTCCATGTTGGGCCGGCACATCCTCAGAGACCCTTACAGGGAGGCTCTGCCACCCGGTCTCCCCAGACCCCTGTTCTACCAGTTCCACCATTTCTCTCCAGTGACAACCACACGGAGCTTCCTGAGGTTCCTGCCTGAATTCCCAAGGATTCTTGTGGGGTTATCCCAACAAGAAGTTTTAAAACTTCAGGCCGCATCCCTGGCAGACAGCCTAGCGACACACAGTGTTTTGGAATGAGCGGAAAGGGCCCGGTGCCTTTGCTAGTTGTGAGCACCCCAGCGGGGTGGTGAGTGCCTGGCGGGTGGAACTGGCGGGAAAGAACTGTGGGGAGACTCCCACCACACAGGGGCCACCGAAAGGAGGCAGGTTTCCACCAGGAACAAGCCAAGGCTGGGGTAGGAGGTCTGCAGGCAGAGAGGCCCCTGGGCCTGCTGTCAGTACAGGCAGATGCAGCTGAGTGGAGTTCTCCATCCCCCCAGGGGCGCAAAGGAGTCAGCGTTCTCATTATTGAACCAAAGTTGGGAAGAAATGCAAAAATAACGCGCATGTATGGAGATGACAAAGAATGCCCCCTCTCTGCCCCCCAAGGCCCAATAGGGACACACATCAGACAGAATCGGTCGGCCCAGTGCCAACCCGGTGGATTTTCAGGGCTCTCGGGATGGCCCAGCGTGGAGGGGCTGGTGTCATCCTGAAGCTGAGACAAAGGCCACCGTAATTTCCCCGGGAGCCCAATTACTGTGTGGGAGCCCTTCCCCCCAGCTCTGCCTCAGGAGCCACACCTTCCCGGGAGCAGGGACTCCAGGCCCAAGTTGTAATTATCAACTCCTCCATTCGGTCTGCACCCTGTCAACACTGGAGGTTTCCAGCCCTCTCCCGGCCCAGGGTCACCAGGCTGTGGCTGACCTTGAGAACAAAGGTATCTGCTATTTCTGAGAGATTTTTTTTTTTTTTTTTTTTTTTTCTCCCGGTACGCGGGCCTGTCACTGTTGTGGCCTCTCCCGTTGCGGAGCACAGGCTCCAGACGCGCAGGCTCAGCGGCCATGGCTCACGGGCCCAGCTGCT